CAAAAGCACTTCTTTTCTTGCGTTTTCCCTAATAGTCAAATGTTTTGGAAGAATTTGATCCAAAAAGTATGGTGCTTTAGCTAGTACTTAATTCCCTATACAATTTTTTTAACTGATGAAAGATATACAAAATGTTAATTGAAACTTCTAATCAGCAGGAATGAGATCATTTCAGCTTGAAATACAGATTATTTAACATCGTAGTTAATTTATAAAGCATTAACACAAATTAATGTGAAATTCGCTTTAGGCGCTTTGAAATATTGAAAATAGCTCACGCTTTCACCCTTCCCCAGCTCAACATTACATCCACTCTGGTTTACCTCAGGTGCAAGGTAATGGATTGTGCATTTGTACATAGATTTAAGGTTTTCTCTTTGGTTCTTAGGTGCAAATGATTTTCAGTTCCATAAACTTAAATTTTTTCATGACTTTATTTTAACCTATGATGGAGTTTTTCAAGAGTTACTAACATAGGGCCAGTCAGGACAATAAGTCCTACCTGTTACCAGAAATTACTGATAAACCTGGTAGGTACTGCCCTGAGTATTGGCAACCACACGTTTAAAAGGTTATAAAACTCCTATTTTGGATGACTTATGTGGCCAGTGTTTGGGGGGGGGGGAGAGTGCAAGAGAGATTCTGAGCCTAATTTAGGTAGGTAGATTGAGCCTTGCCTAAATCTACACCTTGAATTGGCAATTTACATGACTCTGTCATCCTCCCCTCATTTGCTCTAGAATTTTGTCACTCACTATCTAATTTTACAGGATATTAGTAGTACAGTACAAATTACATTTGACAACAGTAAATTAAATAAAATAGCATCTAAAAGTTCCTAATACAAAGCATATACTTAATAAATTTTTGATGGGCAAATCTTCTGGAAAGGCAGCTCCCAATTTTCTGCAAGACCCTTATTTGTTTTAAAGAAAATGAAGTCGTACTTTGCACAATTAGCAGCCCTTCAGAGCTCTCAAAATTCTCACTTGTTGACAGCCTCTCTCTACCAGCTGTAGATATTCCCAGTCAGATAACCATGTGACCAGACAGAGGATGGATTTAGCGAAAATTTATATGGGGGTTCACTCCAAAACCAAAGAGGGGTGATTATCAAAGCACATTTCATTTCTTAGCACTTTCTAAGATTGGTCCTGAAAGTACAGCAGTCAGTAAGACAGGCGAGACCCTGGGCTCATAGACATGGAGAGGCCCAGAGCAAGGAAGTCAAAGTCAATCCATGAAGACTGGAGAGAGTGGGGGCCGTGAAATGCCTTTCCCTTTGTATAGCTGCAAATGACCACATCAGGATTGGATGGAATTAAAGAGGCAGAAGTTTTGGACAAAAAATTCCTGAAAGCTATCATATGCCTTTCAAAGCCTGACAGAGTGGAATTTTCACATACCTGACACAGTGGAATTTCTCTGTCAAAGTTTTCAGGCAGAGTCAGGAAGTAAATGCATATGCTGTGTACACTGAGCACCTCAAAGTGTGCACAAGGGGAAAGATTGTAAATCAAAGAAGCATGCGGGCTACTAGCTTTTCCCCATGATGTCTTTACATGCAGCCTCAAGACACTATATAGAAATCCACACAGAAGTCATCTATAATTTCAATGCCTCCCATTAATATTTCGCTTTGCCAGTACCCTCTTTCTCCTCTGACCACAGTGACACTTGAGGAACTAAAATCCATTTGGAGTCACAGTTTCTAGATTCATCATATTTTTCTCTGACGATGCCTGGGAAAGGTTTCTCACGTATGAGCTACATTTGTCAAAGCACTTTATTTAGGTATGAATTTTAAAGTGCACTTTCACATGACATCCAGTATTCCCCAGTATGGATGGCATGGCAAGGTACAGCTTCATTCAGGAAGGTGACATTTCTTTCACTGTAAATCCTTACAATAGGCTAATAGGATGGTGGGCTGAGTTTTGGTAACACCTCCCCAGAAGTGGATTATGGAATGCTGTTTTAATTACCAAAGTCTTGGAGAATTTAGGAGCTTGGGAAAAAATCATACTGGGAGTGTGCAGTGGTTATGCGTAGAGCCTAGGGTTCTGGTGTGGCATGGGAGGGCTCCTTGGGAGTCACTGCCTGGTGATGAGTGGTCAAGGAGAGATGCCTGGGGATTGTCCTGGAGTTTGGTCAGTCTGTCACACCTGAGAATGAGGTCACCATGGAGTATAATTTTACAGTGGGACTAAAAGCAATAATAGTCACTAGACAGTGTAAAGTCCTTTAGGGAGCACAGTGAGGGGCTTACTGTGGATGATAAGGGAAGGGGGTCTGAGGTGCTAAAAGGGGCTGTTGGGTTAGAGAAGAGCATTGAGACTTTCTGGGGAGTGAGAAAGAGATCATGAAGGTGAGTGGGCCTGACAGGTGACTTGTTTCTAGAGAAAAATCAGAAATTAATACAGAATGCAGAAGGATGCAGGAGGTGAGAGCGGGTGCTTCTGAAGCACATGAAGCATGTGGTAGAGATAGGACCATGTGTGCAGAGGATTAAGTGCTCTCTGGGGGCAGCAGGACGTGAGGAGCACCAAGGATGTGAGGGATGTGGATCGCGACTCATCTGGAAGAGTGCAAGGTTAAGAGACAGGGGGTTTGGGGTTCACTGTGGGGTGTGCAGTGTTGTAGAGGAAGGCAGGTTTAACATGGAATGTGAAAGGGCCACAGAGGGAAGAATGTGAACGGATCACTGAGACTGGGTAAACTGGTGTTTGGCATAGTGTGCAAAGCAGTGAGAGAAGGTGACACTCAAGGCTCACCGTGGAGTGTGGAGTGTTTGGGGAAGGCAGGCTGGGAGGTCAGGAGTGTGGGGTAGGTGTGGGAAGGCACAGTGTAGGGCCCTGGGGGATGTGAGGCATTTGGGCGCGGGAACTGAGTTTTACCTGCAATACAAAGTGGCTAAAAGTTGAGTGGTCCTTACCCCTAAATCTAAACTGGTTTCGTGGAGAGAGGATTTCAGCCCATTATGGGCTGAGGTGGGTGGTTGTGAGGAAGAGGATGGGAACTGTGTGGGGGCAGGTCCACGGTGCAGGAGCGAGGAGGTTTCACCATGGAGTGAGACAGGAAGGACAGAGCAGCAGTCTCAGGAGGACTGCTTTTCTCAGAAAGGTCAGAGGTTTCCTGTGGGGTGTGAAGTGGTGGTAGAAGGGAAGACTGGAGTTTTTCCTGGAGTAGGAGGAGGTGCAGGTAGGGATGGCCTGCGAAGCAAGAAGTGGCTGCAGAAGTGAGAACCTCCCTATGTAGTGTGAAACCGTGATGAGCAGGAAGGTTAGAGCCTAACTGGAATGTGAACTGGCTGTGAAGACGGAGGATTTCCTAACATGATCCCATGGGCTATGAATGATTTTGGTTCAGCAGAATTTGGTTCAGCAGAATTATAATTTACAGTAGAGAATTGCAGAATTACAATTTACGATAGAGAATTGCAGAATTGCAATTTACGGTAGAGAACAAAGTGGTTATTGAATTGGAGGACTGGCCACTCTGTGGCGGAGGAAGTGGTTGTGGAGAGACTCAATGTTTGCTTGACATGAACTGTGAATGGTCCTTGTGGGGAGGATTGGCTTTTACCATGAAATGTCAGGTGCTGTGCGGGAGGGATTGGGGCTGGCTATGTCTGAGGAGGGATTGTGGCAGTGGAAACATGATGGCTTGATGGGGAGTGGAACATGGTTTCCAGAGTTATTTTTAGACCATTCTTTTGCCCTTTGTCTTCACAAGCGATCTCCAAAACCTGGCTAAATGCATCTCTCCTTAGGAAGCAATTCAGAATCAAAAGAGCTCTTGCACCTCCCCTACATGTCTCTCTTCTTCTTTTTATTCATAAAATACTTATTTGCACCCAATACAATAACCTGACCCAATCCTGAGAAAAACTGTTCAGTAAAGATTCTGCCTTCTATGGCCACAGTTTAATTGCAGATGAGAGCCACAACCATAGAGAAAACAATGTGTGTTATTGTGTCTTGGTTCTGTGCTAGAGCCTAAAGTGTGGGTTCGGGCACCATCTAACCTCACAGCGAGAATCCATTCCAGCTTTCAAGAGCAAGTGCTGCCCACTGTTCAAGTCACATATGTTCTCTGGGAATAATCACAGATCTGGAGCCAGCTATCTGTTTGAGGATCATGAATAGATCATGCATGATGTGACAAATCTGTAGACTTTTGTTAGCCCTGGTCACACTGGAACAAGGAATGGTCAGACTAACAGACAAGGGGTCTGGAATTTACGAGATCTGTACTCAAATTTCAGGTTTTCAGTTGTCTTGGGCATCTATACTTTAGCCAGTGTGAGAATCCTCTCCACACTTAGATGGTTCTCTACTGTGTAGGTCTCTCCACTAAAATACAGAATTCATTCCCCCTGTTCCACCAAGGCCAACACATGGCATGAGTGCTGTGCATCTGTGCGTCAGACAGCTCCTGGCAGGTATGTCTCGAGGAGACAGTGACATCCATAGAAAGGGAGGCAGGATGCAGAGGATCCACCCACTGGCGTGGAATGATGCACATGCGGTCTGGTTCTACAGTCCTCACTTAGGGTGTGGCTCCGTATCCTTAACATCCTGGTCCTGAGAGGCTCAACTTCTCTCTGTGGGCTGGTTACAAGGTTCTGACTAAGATGTTTTTCACAGAAATTTAATTTCCCCATCATCAGAGGCTCTTCATCAGTTTTGGAAGCTATCTACATCCTTTAATGGATTGATTTCATTCTGCTGAAAACAGCTTAATTTAATTATGTTACCTGCATTAAAGAAACATGACCATTATAACTAACAAGGAGCTTTGAAATCTTGAGCAAATTGATCCATAGATGCCTCTTGGTGCACAAGGACAAAATAGCATAATGTTTATGGGCACAGGCTTGGGGAGCAGAGCTCCAGGGCTCAGGCTGAGCTCTGACACAGCCGTGGGAGCTCGGATAAGGAATCTTATCTGTTTAGGTCCTGCTTTCTCATCTACGAATTGAGGATAGTGTTGCTTACCTCATGGGGCTGTCATGAAAATTAAATTTATGATTTATCTCAGGCACATACAGGAACACCTGGAATTAAAAAAAACATTAATTGTAATTACATGTCTCTAAGTCTTGTTTTTCCATTTAAAATTTAAAGTAATAATATTTACCTCTTAAGTTTCACTTCAGTGACAACTAGGTTTTAATAATATATTTGATCATTTTTATCCCTCTCCTTCCCTCCCTTTCCTTCCTTCCTTCCTTCCTTCTTTCCATCTTTCCTTCCTTTCCTCCTTTCTTCTTTCCTTCTAAGAGGAGAAAGGATGTTGACAGAAACTTAGCACCATCTGAAACAATTTGGACCTGTCTATCAATTTTGAAAATTTCAATCAACCTGGCGCCACCAAAAATCAAAACTACACCCCAAGAAGAATGTACCATCTAAGGAGAGAGAGAGGAAATCAAACAGCTTATGTGTGTTGACTATATTAAATTTACATAAAGAGTCAAGCAGTTAAAATTTATATAAACTCCTACTAAATAAAGAACATTCAACCAGAATGTTTGTCATTGCTTTTTTGTTTTATGAAGTTTTTTATTGCCTATCTTTTGAATGTCTTCCATGTCCTATTTTTGTTTGCATTGATTAGTTTTTTATTGTTTTGTATCTTGAATGCAACCTTATAATTAGATAGCAGCAATAATTTTTTCTGCTTTCAATAAATATGTTTCCTCCTAAGGAATATAAAATGATTGGAACATGAGTTCCTTCCACTAGAAATTACTAGAATCATTCTGAAACACACATAAATGGATTGAATTCTTTCTTTTCCCATTAATTAGGTTTCTTTTCCTTACAAGCCTTGAAAAAGCAACTCTCACTTTAGCACTGGGTGAGAAAGCAAAGTGCCCAGTGCTGATGTGTCCAGCACCTCTCTTTAAATTAGAAGCATTGTAAGGCAAAACAGAAGCTGGTGTGAGAGCCCTCTGCCCTCCCAGGATTACAGCCAGTAGAATAGAAATTTCTCCCTTTTTTGCACTTACAGCAAAGCCTCTAGATTGTCACAAAAGCCTAGAGCTTAACTTTTAGAGCACCAAGTTGGGGGACATTCCCAAAAGTCTCTCTATGCAGGCTGAAGTCTTGATTTGATAGCCAGAGTCTCAATCATGTTTTCACCAAGAGGATGTGAGTGGGAAGTGAGGAGAAGCTGAAGAATGACCAAAATAGAAGATCAGGGATCCTTCACAGGGCCCCAAAATAAGTGTTCAGCATGATCCTGTCCAGATCATGTTTGGCCCATCAACTGGAAGAAAGTTTGCATTTTGATATAAAATTCCACTCCATCTTCATTGGTCTGTGATACTGATTTTTCAAAGGCACAATACAAATCAGTGACTTTCTTTTAACCAGGCAAGGGATGAGGAATAAAATGATTTTATGGTGTGGATCTAAAATGTCCCCAAAGAAGTCTATGTGTTGGTTGGGAACCCAGTGCATTGATGTTAGAAGTGGGGCTTTCAGAAAATAGCTGAACCATGAGGAATCTAACTTCACTGCTGAATGAATCCATTATGACTTCATGATTTGAGAACATTATTTAGAGCTGATGGAAACATGGAGATGGCACCAGCCTGAAAGCAGTGAATCAGGAAGGTGTACTCATGGGGACTATATCTTTTAGCTAACCTCTCTCTCTCTCCCTGTGTCTGTCTCTCTGTCTCTGTCTTTGTCTCTCATTTTCCCTCCTTTTTTCCTTTTCCCCTTCTCTCCCTCCTTCCTTTCCTCTAAAATTTGAGTTACTCTATTCCCCATGATAGCGTTCAGTTTTATCTTGGGCCCAGAAGAAATAGAGCCAAGTGACCATCAACTGAAACCTCTGAACCTGTGCCCCAAAATAAATTTTCATCTCTTATATTGATTTTGTTTTGTCACAGTAACAGAAAAGCTGACTAATACAGATGGAAATATTGCTTGGAAAGGACGTTGATGTAACATGAAAACTCATACTTAGTATAATAAGTACATATTTGTCAAATGAAAATCAAAGGCTTCCTTTTGTAAGAGAAAGAGAGAAACCACAAGAAGAAGAGGAGGAGGAGGAGAAGGAGGAGGAGGAGAAGGAAAAGGAGGAGATAGAGAAGGAAGAGAAGGAAAAGGAGAAGGAGAAAAAGACAGGGCAGTTTCTTCACCAATGCCAATGGACTGAAAAAACCTTTGGCATATTATATCTTGGTCAACATTTGATGCATTATGGCAGAAAAAGATTTTACCTCAAGAGTTGAGTCTCTTGCAGTTCCAAGAACATGAGGTTATTTATGAAAAAGGGCTTTCATTTGTATCGGGATATGTCATTTTAGATTTGCTAAAATGTCATGTTTTCGGAGATACTTACTCTGACCATCAAAGCTATTTATAAAGCCTGAGGATTATTCTCTACATTTCCTTCACAGCCCTTACCACGGATTGCAATTATTTTTTCCTGTTTAGTGTCTGGCTTTCCCACTCTGCTAAGTGCTTGATGAGTGCAATGATCATGCCTGCTTTGTTATTCAGAGTGCCCAGTTCTTGATGTTTGAGAAGGAAAATGGTATTATTCAGGAGACAGCAGACTCTGCTCTGACAGCAGATAAATTCCCCAAATAAACCTGTCACAATGGTGCACACCCATAATCCCAGAATTCTGGGAGGATGAGGCAAGATCACAAATTAGAAAAAAATAAAAAATAAAGATAATTTGGGATGCAGCTCAGTTCTGGTACTGGGGGTTATACCCCCAGTACCAGAAAGAAAGAAAGAAAGAAAGAGAGAGAGAGAGAGAGAGAGAGAGAGAGAGAGAGAGAGAGAGAGAGAAAGAAAGAAAGAAAGAAAGAAAGAAAGAGGAAGAGAGTCCCCAGATTTCTATGGTTTAGAAAAGAAAAATGTTCACAGAACATTCACTTTGGACATCCTTTCTCCATCTTACAATCTGGTTATCTCAAACCCAGGCCCTCCAGAATCATCGAGGAGGAAATGAGACTGATCCAGGTAGCTTTTGATTGGCTCAGCCCACACACACTTACTTCCCTTGATCTCTAATGGCCAGGCTTGTTCTGCGGCCCTGATGGGATAGCAGGGAAGGCAGAGGCACGTGGGTGAGCTGTGGCTGCAAGGACAATGTCCCTGAGCACTAAAGCGTCTCTCTGCTCTTCTGGCCTCTTTCTGGAAGGGACAATGACTTAGCTATTTAGTGCCTTCTAAGGGTGTTGACGCAGCCCTTCCTGTCTTTTGTTCTTGGGGGAACAGCTGAGAGCAGAGAGCATATTCTGCTTTGCCTTTCAGAAAGCAAGCTTTGCCAGAGAAAGCCCTCATCACCCACACTGGGGTGGAAACCTCTGAGCTAGTCCTACAGCTCTGAAGGACAGGTGGGCATGTTGGATTCTGAGCGGTAGCGCTATGAAAGCCGTTTCTGCTGGGCCCTTTCTTGGGCGCTCCGTAATGCTTCTCCGCAGTGCCGGGGATGTCCTGCTCTCTGCCTGCCTAACTTCCACGTGGTCTCTCCTATGATTCTGAACTCAGGCAGGGAGTACAGCAGTACTGACAGATCCTACAGCCCAGTCCTCAGCTGTACAGTCCTAAGGGGATGCAATAAACTCTCAATCAATGAATGAATTTAGAAGAAACCTGAAAAAAAATCTATTCCACTTTTTCCTTACTAACAGATAAGTAAAACCCAGAATCGTGATTTGATCAGGGAAACTCATCCCGAGTCCTTGCCCCATCTAACACACGGTCTTACCGCCAAGCCAGTGAGTACAGCCCTGCTATTATATGGCACATTCGCTCTGTAATTTTAGAGAGCTTTAATTCAAGGAGGGGGAGGATTTTATTTTTTGAAAAACAGAGTAAACTCCTCTGAATACAGTACATACTATTCTTTTCAAGGAGTAGGGAGTAAATTCTTTGCCTTTCCACACTCCTACTCCCAAACCATTGAAACTTTTGGGTGAATCATTCTCAGTCTGAACTGATAATTCTTGAAGTAACCTTTCTTTCCAGACCATAAAAAAGCAGCAGCTTGTTAATCATACAACTATTTAACCTAGACCCTCCCTAGTCCTACAACTGTACTCCCAGCCCGTAATGTATAATCTACCCACCCACATATATTGAAATGAGATTATTGTTCCCACAGAAAAGAGCTCCGCAGTTGCACAAGTCCTAACTTTGTTCCAGAGGGTGATAAAAAGGAGAAAGAAAGGGCCGCGAGTTGTTTGATAGGCTTCTCAGGAAGGCACAGAAAGGATGAAAGATCGCCCTAGCAGGCACACAGTGTGAAAGACTGCGTGGGCAGAGCTGCAGCGGGCCCAGCAGGCCCCCTGAGCATGCGCCCCACACCTTTAATCTAGAAGCTACCATGGCGCAGTCAGTGCTGGCCAGAATGGGTGCCCTTAGCCTCATCAGAGAGCATCGCTGCCAGGGCGGAAGGAAACAGTGCCAAGCAAGAACCCAGGCAAAGCAACAGAGGAGAAGGCTGTGGGAGGCGTGGACCAGCATTCACTCTTTCCCTTGCTTGTCACAAGCTCTGAGAGTGAAGCACAAAGTCGTGCAAGTACCTTCTAGGTGCCAAGAAGTGTGGTAGGCGCCACAGTTAAAACTGTCCATGAGCCTGCTGTTACCCGCCATAGTTGGAACATTTCTACTTCCAGAATGGGATGAAAAAGCCTCCACTGCACAATTATCATTGCAATTTTTTTTGTACCAGGGATCGAACTCATGACCTCATGCTTTCTAGACAAGTGCTTATACCACTAAGCTACATTCCTGACCCTGAACAATTATTATAAAAAGAGTAGAAAACGCAGGGACCATGCCTGGCTCCAAATCAGGAAGCTGCCAGAGAGAGCGCTGATTCTTTTCCACTCATTGGGATGAGCGTGCCACAGCGCATCTCAGAGAATCAGAATGCTCATTTGACAGACAAAACCTTAGAGTACAACCTGGATCCTGGTAGGCATAGAAATCAGGTTCCCATTTCACTTCCCTGAGTGTCCACAGCCCAGAGGAGCTCAGGGTAAAAACAGCTCAGCACAACTCAGGAGGGAGCAGGGGAGGGTTATCAGGGACTCACCTCCGGGATGGACACCGTGTGTAGGACACAAAGACAGTTGTCCAAAAGCTGCTGAAGGAGACAGACATGCTTTGGCTTTGCCTCATTCCTGCCTGCAGAGGCAGCCAGAAGCGAGGAACAGAAGTCTATTCCAGGAAGACAAAGTGTCGGGGTGGGGGGTCGGGGGGTGTAAGGCTGTTCTGTGAGACTCCCGGTGATTCCCTCCCAGGCCCCTAGGCTTGATCTTCTAACATGGCCTAAAAATCAGCTGTTGGGGTGTCTGTCATCTCTCCAAACTGGAAGCTCCTTCAGGGCAGGGACTGTGCTGTGTTTGTGTCCATACAAAGTGCTTTGTCTGACATACAAAGTTTTTTATACATGAACAAGCACTTTTAAAAGATTAAAATAATGTACATGAACTACTTTCTGCCTTCTTTCATGTAAAGTTTAGAGTTATAGCTTTGTCTTTTAACATCTGCAAATATTTCATCATACAAATATACCATTATTAACCTAACTTTTAATTATGTTACACATTCTACTACTGAAAGGTGATTACAAATTGTCCCATTTTGTGCTTTCTCAAAGACTGCCTACCATTCTTATCTGTGTCTCTGACAGCTTCCTAGAGAAGCCATCTGACACTCTAAGTAGCCGCCACAGCATCTCTACACAAGTGAAGAGCAAAAACCAGGCGGAGACCACGCTGACCAGCAGTAGGAGCTTGGGTAGGATCTTTAGCCTCTCTCAGCTTACTCCAAACTGTAACTAACCAACACACTGTAATTAACCAACACATGGGGCTGTTACAAAGAGTAAATAAATTAAGGTATGCAAAGCACAGAGAGGAGAGCTTGACAGCCATTGAGAGTTTCCTGTTATTAATTATATTTACATAACTGTGTCAAACAAGACTGGGCAGCCCCCAGGGGAGTGATCCTGCCTCACTCACTCATATGCTCCAGGCTCTTACAACCTAGCTTTGTGCATGTTTACTAAAGAAATAAGAAATGTAGATAAAGGAGTCAAGTATTGGCTCAGTCTTCCCTATTAGCCTACAGTAAATAGGACCTTAATTGAGACTGTCTTCATCCTCAAGTGTCTGTTGAGATTGAGCAGTCCATTGCACCTTAGTTTGGGATAGTGCTGGACATTTTCTAGAGATGGGATTGATAAGAAAGAGGAAAAGGTTTTGTGAGATCCAGACACCCTAGAAAAAGAACTGAGCAAACAAACACCATGAGGAACTCGGAAGGCATAAAGTTAGGGGTGTCCAGTGTCAAACAGCATTGGTGAGCCGGAGTTTTGCTCAGAGTTAGCTCTGCACTTGAGAAGCTGAGTTAGTCAGGTTCCTGTTCACTTCTAATCTTTTCCTTCCTATGGACAGAATGGACCTATCATGAGGATGCAAACCAGGAAGGAGCCACTGATTACTGAGTGGTTACTGTAAAAAAAAAATAAAGATCTTACTGGAATATCCCAGAAACTCTGGAGATTCTGCTTGGTTATCTCTTCTGCTTAACTTGTCTTCTTTTGTTCCTCAGGATGAGAAAACAGACACAGCAATGTGCTGTCTTGTACCTACGACACATGGAGCTATGGTTTTGCCTCTCAATCCTAACCCTTCCTTGTTTAAACTGAGAGGACCCAAACAGGGTTCCCTCCCAGGAAGCGCAGTGCTAAAGCTTAACAGAAGGAACCAAACAGGAAAGAAGAGAGACTATCTACTTTAAGTCCCTGCCATAAAACCGCCAAGAAACCAGCATAGTCTTTCTCTTTGTTTCGCTCTTGTACCATATTTGGAGGTTAAGGAGCACAGGTGCTGACACAGGTGAAAATAAGCCCTCCTCTGCACAAGCAGGAACATACCTAGTCAGGAAAGAGATCTTGTCAATCCGCTCTGTAGCTGAAGAAAATCCAGCTCAGCTGAGAATCAGAGACAGCATCCAAAGTTTTGCATGAATAGTCCTGGCTGCAAAAAGAAGGCAGGGAAGGGAAAGAAAAGAATTAATTTTTATTTTTATTTTTCATCTTTTATTGTATCCAATTGTGATGCTAGTCAGAGAAGAATGAAGTGATTCAACATGGTCCATATGAGGTCTTAATGTTTTCTGGAGAAAAGTTCAAATACGTTTGGAATATACGTAACACTGAAATATATAGTCATCACGTTGCAAGGAAAAATCTTAGTTTTGCCTTCAATTTTGCTTCCAATTATTTCACAATACATTTCTGTTACTGCCTCAAGAGGAGCTGTCTCTTAATGAAGAAATAAATTAGTGACCTGAATTTATTTCCCCTACACAGATGAGGAAAACAAAGAACTAGTCCACAAAAGTAAAGGAAGAAGAGAGGACTCATGCAAATCATCAACCTCTGAGATGTTTTGGGATGTCACATCTAGCATAGCCAAAACATTGCCGTCAACCCAACGGTCCTCTCTAGCATATCCCCAGGAGGCAGACTTCCCTGCCCCACTTTTGCACATTCAAAGAACACAAGATGCTTCTCATCTCAGTAGGGACATATATTTCAGAGTACTCGGCATGAGCAATGCAGGTGCCTGCCGGGCACTGCAGAGCTGGGTCATGCTGAAGTCTGTGGAAGGCAGTGCTAGCCCAGGTATGTGGGGAACAGTGATGTGGCCCAAGTGCAGGTCCGTTGAGACCCTAAGGAAGTGGGTTCTTCAGCAACGGCCATGTCCCTGGCTGATTCAGACGCTGAACAGAACCCCACCTTTATTCATGTTCCAAACTTTTATTTTGACTTTTATCTTTTTCTTAAGGATGGTATTTGCATACACTGAACATTTCCTGAATGCCAAGCATTTATAAAGCACTTCTAGCAGTTTCGTTGATTTATTCTCATAATCACTCTGAAGAAGGATTTTTATCCACATTTTATCAATCAGATGACTGAAGAGTTACTAACTAACCAGAAGCCCCAGGAATTTTGAATCTTCAGGAAAAAGTTGTAATTATTTCTAAGATGGAGGGTGACAGATTGGAGGGGATGGCTTCGAAGCTGGATCTTGAAGATGAAAGAGGAAGGAGAAAGCATCTCAGAGAAGGGAACAGCATGAGGAAAACAGTGGAGCCTTGAGAAAAGCCACTGAATTAGCAGTGCTTCTCAAAGTAGCTAGTCTGACCGTACAGCAGGCTTGCTTCTGGGCACCCTGTTCCAGGCCAGGCACCTGTGCTGCGCATGCTCTGATGCCTGCTCTAGGTTCAGGGGCTTGGTGCTGCAGCACTGGCACCTGGTGATGAATCTCCATGATGCCAAGCGCTGAGTTAACTCTTAAACCCAGCCTGTTGTCATGGCAATGGGCATGGTATCTGCTAACCTTGCAGCAAACAGGTAAGGAGTTTATTTTGAGTGAGGTTTGGATACAAGGAACATTCGGGTCGTCCAGATGTGTTCCTAGTAAGTGGAAGATTTTATTTCCTTTTAGTGAAATCTTCTATAGCAAGTGGGAGACTTTCTTTTCCTTAAGGCTGTTGCTGGCTCCACGCACTCACTGACAATGGATTGTAGGTATCAACCTTCAGGGAATCATTCTGCTTTTTAAGAAAAATCTCTTTTAAATAATTACACATTGGCCTCTGGGTTAATGCAAATTATGGGATGCATTACCAGTACTTTTGCTGTGAACATCTGAGCCATTATTTATAGTAGTGCTTTTTGTCTTAAATTATTAACCCATTTTGAACATTAGCAAAATCAGGTATGGACCCAAATCTTTCTGAAGCATTTGATACTGAATGAAATAAAAAGAAGGTGGAATGAGAAAAGAAAAACACAGAATTGGAATTTTAAGTGTGATTTTCTCCAGTGTTTTCAAACTTATTTTTAGTCATGGAAACCCATTTTCAGATAGCATCCTAAGGGGACTCTTAGGTAGACATCAGTTCCTCCTACTATAAGTGTTACTACTGCTATTACTGCTGTCTCCTTTTGGACAACATGTACCTAAATGTTCTTTGAGAAAATACCTTCATTCCCAGTGTACTGTATGAGGCAGACTCTAACTCTGCTCCAGTGCAGGTCCCTGAGTGGCTTAAGCCCATTCATCAAGTGAAAATGCTTCGACATAATTGGTTTAAAACCATCAAGTTGTCTCTTGATCATCCAGTCAGGCTGGCCCTGTGGAAACTGGTTGGACTGGGTTACTCAGGCCAGCTTTTCTGGGCAACAGGATGAAGGCAGGGAGTGAAGCACCAGCAACAGTTCTAGCCTGAGCCCCAAACAGCATAATGAAGCACACGATGATGCATGAAAAATACCAAAAGGGAGCCCTATCGTAAGTAGAATTAATCCACTGTCTCAGGTTGTGCTAAAGCTATTTGCTTGTGAACTTCTTTGCTAAGTAAATAAACAGATTTTCTTTCATGTTCATCATGAATTGAGAGTGAGTTTCTGTTATTTGCAAATTAAAGCATTTTCTGAAGAGTCCCAAACCTGGCAAAATAAGACAAACCAGATTCTTTTCCTGAAAGTGAAGACAGGAAACTTGAAGCCTTCACCACAATGTCCTCTCTTAATTTCTCCAAAACTCTGCAGATGCATTCCACTGTCTCGCTCAGTTCCTGCCTTTTACAGGTGAGCAAGCATGGTTCCAAGCAGGACACTCAAGCTGAACAGCAGCTACAAGGTAATTAAATTGAGTGTGTTATATTTGAGGTTTTTAAAAGGAAGTTTTAGAAGACCGGACAAGATAAATAGTTAGTATTTAAAATTTGAAAGATTTTTTTCAGAGTAATCACAATTATACAAAATTCAAAATAACAATAAATTGGTAATTACAGCATAATCACCCCTGTAATGTAACCTTCCCCGCCATGTCCATAAAAAGTATTACAACGACTTCCCTTGGGCAGATGGCCATGCTTTGAAAGTGTATTCCTGTGGACCCATTTGCAACCCTGACCACGCTTCCTGTCAACTTGCCAGAGAAACTTTGGTCCATTTCAAGAAAAAGATACTTTTCTTAGGGCTGGTTTTCATGAGTTTTGTTTTGTTCTTATTTATTGTTAGGACATGTTTGTAATACATATCTATCACGCTCCCTTGGTGGGATTGGTACATGTACATAACATTTTTAAATTCTTTTTGCAACCCTTTCCCTCTCCTCCCTCCATCTCTTGACCCCCTTCTGTTTTGAGAAAGATCTACCTCCCTCCTGCCTATTAGCTATCTTTTATTTTGCTCTTTATTTATATTTTGAGGTTCTGATAAAAGAGAACCCTTTCAATATTTAATCTTATGGGTCTGATTTATTTCTTTTAAAAGTATAGTCTCAAGGTGCATTCATTTTCCTACAAATGACTCGGGTTTACCCTTCTGTATGGTAGAGTGGCCCTCCAGTGAGTGGAATTATTGTATTTTCTTTAGCCATTTGCTTGTTGCTTTTTTAAGATGTCATCCACCTGATCTCTTACGTCAGCAGTTGTACCCTGCTTTACATTATGAGGCACTGTCCTATCACCCTGACTTTCTGTTTGATAGGTTTCACTGTTGGAAGATATAGTCATATGACAAAATAAGAGAGACTCAGTTCAAAACTTGGTGGTTTAAAATAGAGGCACGTGGTACCACTATGCCGTGGGAGACTGCCAAAAGATCATGACGTCTAAAGGTCAGAAGAGTTGGCAATTTCACATAACTAGTCAAATAGAAAGGAAAGTAGAATCTTTCTATGAATGTATAATTAATAAGTGAGTCATTTCCCTTCTCCTTTGAATAAAGCTGTTTTCACAGAGGGGCTCCTTCCACAAACCACACTGTCTCCTCTCTCATTCCAGTGGCTGAAAAGATCAGCCCAGTGGTTAGATAAACTGATTTTAAACCAAATATGAAAGAACAGCATTTCCTTTTGTCACTAACCTAAAGATGAATCATTTCACGACCTCTTTTCAAAGTTGAAGAAGACTTTTAGAGACGATACATGATTAACTTGGAGCACCATACCATGGAGAAACTTTTTCACCCTTTCTTATTGATAGAAGAGAAGTAGTTTGGCTAACAATTCATCAATTCTGGTTAAAAGAAACTTATCTTTTATGACTCCTATGAGTTTACATTACTGGATCAAAAAGTTTGCGTCCTGCCAAGAATGGAAAGCATTTTTAACACTGATAAAGCTTTTTCCCTAATTTCCTAGCCCCCCTCCCCCCAGTTCTGTGCTGAGTGTGACACAGAGGAAGAGAAGGAACATGCGTCTCAGAATCAGGGAAATCCAAATTCAAATCTTATTTCCCCCACTTATCAATGACATGCCTTCGGACAGTAATTTTTCCTTTTGGTTCTTTTTCTCCGTGTCTCTTTCAGCATGATCTCAATGGTTAGAAAACAAAAAAATCAAAACAATGAATATAATGTCACCATTTTAAAGCTGGGACAGCCTTCCTAGGTGTCTACCCCAGAGCGTTTCTGCTCTATGTGTCCAAAATATTGCATGCTCACAGGAGCTGCGCACAGCAAGGTTCTTCTGTACATCACAGAGAGAGATGGTGGAGCCCTTGGCTCTGCCTTGATGGAAAGACCTGGAACAGCAGCAGAAATTGGTAGAAGCAGAAAGAGGAGACCGATGAATAGAATAAAGCAATGCATTTAGCGACATGAATTTTCCCTAAAGACTCACAAATATTCAGGAAGAGTTCTAAATTTATAAATACCTAGCCTGAGTGTATATTTTATGGAAACTTGCACAAAGGCCAACTCTTGGCACCACTCTGACACTGGACAAAGCAGCTGCTTCAAGTAGAGGGTAACTGTGAAAAGAGAAATGCTACAGAAATTAATAAAAATAAAGGAAAGGCACTTACACCAACCACCAAGTTGAGATTTGAAGCTTAGTATATTCTAGGGTTGTCTGGTGAGTTCATAGACTTCCAATGAGAACTCCAATTTGAAGGTGCTCTGTGTACTTTCTCTTCTCATTTGAAAAACTGACTTCGCAGTTCGCCTAGAGACATGAGAAGCAGCTGATAATCTGAACTATCAAACAGGAGTCATGGCAGGTGGTAAAAGCAATCAAAAGGTACAGATTCTGCCTCCAGAACACAGCAGCATGTTTTGAAAATTTTATGAGCATGCCTTAACTGCATATTCCCAGTCACGCTCCAGCCTCTAGTTCAATGCTGTCTGCTGGGGGAGACAGCTCTGGGAAGCAGGTGGCTTCCCAGACTGCCATTTGGGTAATGAGTTGGAACCTGTACCTAAGGCCAACCCCAAGGATCCTTCCAGCTGCTTCTCACTGGAAGCTGACAAAGACTTGTAGGTGTCAGTGTGTGTGTGTGTGTGTGTGTGTGTGTGTGTGTGTGTGTGTGTGTGTGTGAAGAGGGTGGCTTAACTGTCTTTGTAACAATCAACCTGTTCATAGCTGTTTCCTGTTTGCTTTCTAACTCAGAAAAAAAGTTACTCCGATCACCTTATCTCTTCATGGTGGTTAAAAACTAAAAATCAAGCCTACGTTTAGGCAATCAGCTACCTCTCTCACTATGGGGTTTATGTACAATGTCCAAGGAAATCTCCTTTCTTTTTCTGAACTACTCTAGGAAAGAACTGGAAGAGGACAATCCCAGGTTAATCATACCATGGGGAGGCCCCAGGCACCCTCTGCATCTCTGAAGAGGCCAGTGAACGTACCCTGGGGATAAAGAGACATGGGCAACACAGATTTTGGTCGTTTTGTAAGGCAGGAAATGTGGTCATCACCCACACGGATCTGGGTGTGCAAACACAATGTATATGTTTATGTACCTTCCCCCAGCCCACGGACATTGTTCAGATGGAAGGGAGGAGAGCACAAGAAGGAAATCCTCTTCCTTTTGGCAAAAGACAAGCAAAATTTCATGCTCTTGACCTGCATCAGCTGTCCAAAAAAAAGTCTCCTCCTTTATACTGGATGTCATGAAGAGTTCAAAAGACAATGTTGCCACCATTAACATTAACAGCAGAGCCTATGAGGAAGCACTGGCCGGGGGGCAGTCACTGTCCTGGGTGCCAGGGTCCAGTGCTGAGTGAAGTCTTTGTCCTGCCCCTCCTCGCCAAACGTCCATGGCAGGTCACACACTGTTAGACCATTGTAGTCCTTTTCAATGTCACCACCATTGTCACTTCCCTTCTTATCTCTCAGGACAACTTAAAAAAATAAGTGTTTATGAAACAGCTAAGATTAAAAATACATAAAGAAATGAAATACTTTTACAAATAAAGGAGTGAAAAACAATCCTTTGGAGATTTTTTTAAAATGTGAATTTCTAGGAATGTTTTCCACACTGTGCTGTGAATTAACAAATCCCAAGACTCCATGTTTTAAAAACTATCCAGTTGGTTCTGATACACACATTTAAAGATTTGTACTTAACAAATATTGTCTTAGATTGCAGTACTTTAAATATTGTGTTGTTTGTTGTGCTTTGAGTGCCACAAGAGTCCAATAAAGTACACAAATAGAATGGGAAGTATTATCTCCAATTTACTTATGAGAAAAATGAATATATAAAAATCATCATTAAAACTAACTTACTATAATGGCATCTAATTTGTTCTCATCACTGCTGGAAGTTGTTGATCATATTATTCAATGAATTTGTCTTCAAAGAAAGAAAAAAACATATTGTCTAGCAGGTTTCTATGCTGTAATATTGGTAATGTAATATACATCAGTGTCTACACATATGTAAATGCATTATGTCAACCTTAAACTATGCCCTGCGGGTGATAATTTCATTCCCTCACTTATTTACCCAGTACTTTGCCTGGCATTGTTATTTTTGCTCCCAAAACAGTGGTTTATAAAGCACTTTTTAAAAAATGCTTTCATGGAACTGACATTTCAATGGGGAAATCATAGATCTGGAAACATTCCATAGCATAACTTATTCCTATATGATGGAAACCATCCAAGCATCCATAGCCCAGCACAGTCTTATCAGTAATTCATATCTGCTCCAGCGGTGCCTCCTGCAGATATAGATCAGGCGAAATACGAGGGTCAAGGATGCCAGAAGTGATTTGCTGATGGAGTGAAGAATACCAGAATGCGTTGTTGACTAGTAAGTTTATGAACAAGCTAGGCTTTCATTAAGAAAGCAAAAAACTTTGAGAAGCCCAGCAGCCTAAGATCTTTGGCATAACTGTGGCTGAAATTCTATTTGATCTTCTCTCTTCCAGACTTGATGGAGAGATCTGTGTCACTTTATCAGTGGGTGGTTTGCTGACTATGAATGGACCTCAAAGTAGGGTTTGCTTGCAAGGTGCTTTTGGATGAATGAAAAGGATGAGAGGAAGAAATTCATCAGGGAACAGTTAGTATTAACTGTTTGGAATCTATTTGATAATAAATATTTATACACACTTTCATCAAACTATTTCTCCAGAAGTAAGATTTTTGAACAACACACTCTCATATAACCTACCTCTACATTATTGTGGCCCATTGTTTGCCAAGATAATCAGCTGTGAGCAGTTGAATTGATATATCGATTTGTAACAGATTGTCTCATTTAATCTCTTACAATAATGCACAGGTGTAATCTTATTATTTCCACATTAAAGATTAGGCATTTGAGGATTCATACGGTTAAATAATTTACTTAATGCTTTTATTAAGTATCAAGTAATTAAGTAATAGAGCATGGATTTTAAACAGTGTGTTTCCGAAGTTTATACTATTTCTACTTCCTGGTCCTGGTTTGAGCAGATCCTAGCATCATAAAATCTGTAGAGATCCTTCTGCTCACACTTTCCAACAGCCTTGATCTCCTTTGGTTTCCTTGTGCGGTGGCCAACACTCACTGTGCTTTTGTACCACCTGTCCAAACGTCTGTCCATGAAGATTCTGTTTTAGTTTTCATTGCTAAATAATTTTCTAATACTTGTTAATGACCATTTTTTGGTCCGATCTTCCCTAACTACCTAAATGAAATTTTCCTGAACATTAAAAGCATATTCTTTATTATAGTTCTCTGGTACCCCAAAGTACATACTACAAAGAAATGGCTATGAAAACCACAGATTCTTTGCTGCTCTGACAGATATGTTTTAACTGTATACCAGAAGACAGTGGTTGGAAGAAAATAGATGCTCAGTAAGTATTCAACCTTTTTCCCTAGATGAGACATCATCTCCAATTTTTTATTTTTTATTACTGTATGTTTGCAATATGTAATTCCTCATGGGAATTGGTACCTATACATATCACATTTTAATCCTTTGTATTCTTTGCCCTCCCTTCCTGCTCCTCTGTCCTATACCAAGGTCCCTTTCCCATTTCCACAAAGTCCAGAGAAAATGTGATATATAAATATATATATATATGAATGATATATCTATGTTGGAGTATTACTCAACCACCATATGAAGGATAGTAGGTACACCTTGAGACCATAAGGATATGTGAAATTATTACACATATATCTCATGATTTCCTTTATATAAGTTTCAAACATAAATAACGTAAAGAGCAAATATAGGATAGACAATAAGAGCCACTGGGGCAGCCCTTGTACATGGGAGGGGCACAGAAGTGGGGGGAAGGGGGGCATCAGGAAGTGAGAAGCTGTGATGTGTTAAACGACCAGCTCCATAAAAAAATTAAAAAAAAAAAAAAAAAAAAAAAACAAGGGCTGGGGATTTAGCTCAGTGGCTTAAGCACCTGCCTGGCAGGCATGCAGTCATGAGTTCGATCCCCGGTACCAAAAAAAAAAAAAAGCACCAGCTTCATGGCGAATCTCTCCATTATGTCATTATGTGCCATACTAATAAACACTTTTCAAGAAATAAAATCATTATCAATTAAAAAACTCAAAATAGAAATAATTTATAGGGCAAAATGAAGGAGAGATAGTAGGAATTGGGGAGATAGAGACTGGAGGTAGGAAGTATTTGCTCTTGAAGGCAGAATTTTCATAATAGAGATCATTTTCACTTCAAATGATCAAAATTCAAAAATAAGTGGGAATTTCATCTATTATATCAGTTCTTAACTTAAAAAATTATCATGTCAAAAGTTATTATTTATTCATTGTTTTTAATATAAGACTTAGAGATCTTGGCCCAGGAGTTTCATTTTTGGTTTCCAGTGTGGGTCTCCCTGAGTCTGTCTGAGCCGTGACATTCTCCAAAGCTGACCTCAGAAAATGTTTGTGGAGGGAGTGGAAGAGACGAGACAGAATTCAGAAGGTGCATTAGGGAAGGTGGGATGAAGTCAGGTCTTGGCAAATCAGGCTTTCTCCTGTCACAGGGAGTGTACCCTATGTTAACTTACAAGGGGGACATTTAACAGCCCTCTACTTACTTTAGGAGAAGAGCGCTCTGCACATCTTGTCACTTCTCAGTTAATAAAACACAGTGACTTTGCAATTACCAATTAATGACATACAAATACGATAGAATTACAGTGTTTAATGTACGCGTACATGTATGCGTACATAGATATGTATTCCTTGTTTCCAATGCCAATACTAAACTGAATGATTCCACAGGGGATTTCATGAATTGATGAATTTTCTCCAATTTTTGCATCATACAGTGAATTGCAAATTCATGAAATTTAGGGGTACATATGTGAAAGTAATGACATTATCTGAAGGAGGAATTATTAGTAAATGGGAAATATGGGCATTTGGTGAACAAGTGTGAACTATAAAATTACAAGTGATGACAATATGAGCTTTGTACACACAGGTTAAAAACATCATACCATTAATATCTTTGGAGAGATGTGTATATTAGGTTCAAACATGTATATAGACACTCATGTACACATACTAAACTGCTAGACTCAAAAATTGTACAAAAAAATCACAAATGTGAAAAGAAGAAGAAAAACAATTAGTGTAAAAGCCATATTCTCTAGACGTAGGTTCCTGTTCCATCATTCTGAGCTAAATTGACTTTGTACCTCCAAGTTGTGGGTCTCCTCTCTGAGCATCGGAATAATTGTAGCTGCTCCTTCCCCGAGAGGGTGCCAGAATTAAATGAGAGGGTATATATGACTATGCCCCCACACAGGGGCACTTGACAAAGGTTGTTTACTTCCCATATCTTTCTCTGGCCTCTGCTCGTGCTATAAATCCAGCTTTACACTGTTTCCTTTGGGTCATAACAAATAGAAAAACCATCCCTTCTTTCAAGGACAATTTTTGGAGGGAACAAGTGTTCATAAACAGATTACCAGATCTCCAAAGGCAGGGCAGAGGCAAGCATTCATTGATGTGCTTAC